GGAGATGGAGTTCGGCTAAGCCATACAATGAGTAATTGAATTTGGTAACGAATTCACCATTTACGAGATTCGAACCTAAAATCTTTCACTTATAAGTGAATAGAATTATCATGAGACCGTAATACTGAGTGACATTAATAGGTAGTTTAGATTTACAAAAGGCGGCCAAATGAACTTATCGTCATTTTCAGTAAGATGCATGTTAAATTATTAATTGAAACCAATGGAATTAAAATTATTGCGAGGAACAACTTGTTGCACTTTTTCCTTATTCGAAGAACCATCAATGTTAAATATTCGATCAACAACTGTTTCACCAAGATTTCGAATATTTTGTAAATAAATTATTTTAGTTTAAGGAAGATGATAAATTCAGGACCGGTTTTGAGTTTTTTGGTGCTCAGAGCAAATGCTCAAAATGTACATGTTTTAATATATGAAAATATATTTAAGGAGGGCTGGAAGTGGAACCTAGTCGAAGTTAGGGGAGGGGCCTCAACCCTCATGCCCATATTATATTAATGGGTAAACTGTCGGTTTACCCCCTGAACTTTCACCTCACTTTCGATTTCCCCCCTGAACTTTTCTATTGGAAAATTAAGGACTCAAACTAATTTTTTTAGCCAATTTGCCCCCTACCGTTAGTTTTTCATATATTCCATCCATATTTCCGTTAAGTGAGACCATGTGCACAACATGTGAGGGTAGTTAAGTTATTTCACTCTTAAAAATGATTAAAAAACTGAAAATAATAAAAAAAAAGCAAAACTTTCCCTCTATTTTTTCCCGCTAATTCCTATCCTCGATTTTATTTTTCCCTCTCATTCCTATGCATGAGAAATGACATATGGTGTTATTGTCTACCATTTTTATTTTCTCTAACAAATTAATAATTTGACAAATGTTAATGGTGCTATTGTCTCCAAAGCAGTGCATTAATATAAGAAACCCTAGTCTTTTTTATGGACATGTTTCTTATATTAATGCACTGCTTTGGAGACAATAACACCATGAGCATTTGTCAAATTATTAATTTGTTAGAGAAAATAAAAATGGTAGTACATGCTTCAAAAAAAAGATTAACTTAGCTACGTATGAAGACAATAACACCATATGTTATTTCTCATGCATAGGAATGAGAGGGAAAATTAAAATTGAGGATAGGAATTAGCGGGAAAAAATAGAGGGAAAATTATTATTATTATTTATTTTCAGTTTTTAATCATTTTTAAATTGAAATGACTTAACTATCCTCACATGTTATGCACATGGTCTCACTTAACGGAAATATGGATGGAATATATGAAAACTAACGGTAGGGGACAAATTGGCTAAAAAAATTAGTTTGAGTCCTTAATTTTCCAATGGAAAAGTTCAGGGGGGAAATCGAAAGTGAGGTGAAAGTTCAGGGGGTAAACCGACAGTTTACTCTATATTAATTGAAGAAAAACATATGGAGGGAGCATAAAACCTAAGCCCCGACTCATTATTTTTAGAAAAAAAATTATTTTATTATTAATTTTTTTAACAAATGATATTATCTACATTAGGGGTGGGGGGTGAGTCAAACCTCACAATGGGACATCCATAATAATGTGGTTTAAATTCACTTTTAGCGAGAATCGAACCTAAGATCACTCACTTATAAATGAAGAGGATTACCACTAAACCGTAGCACTAAGTAGCTAGAATTTTTTTATTAAGAGATCCTTTTAAACTTCCGCAATTTCTTTATCCTGAGCATTTTTTTTTCTTTTCATATTACTAGAGAGTTGTTTTTTTTTAAAAAAAAAATTACCTACATGTTGTATAATAAAAAATTTCAATTTGTTGTAGATCTAATTTACTAAACAATTACAATGGCACAGAGAGAGTAGAGAGAAATGTGTAATTGTGAGGGGTGTGTTATTCCAACCTATTGTGCATTTATTTATAGTAGTAGGAAGATAAATTATTTACTCCAATAGGATTACAACTCTAATAGTCTAAGAGATATGACATAATTTATGTTGGATATTCTATATATGATATGATTTTGTTGACCCTAAAAACTACCAAGCCTACCTGGCGCGCAGGCCAGAGTAACTAATGAGCTAACTACGTCCTTCGGTTGATGCGGGGCGTGCCAACTCATCGACCGAAGAGTAAAAATATGTTGATGTTGTGTTGAGCGAACGGCTGACTTCTTGATCTTGCGACTGCGACCGACGAAGGAACACTCTCGGCCTTTGGGCTCTAGAGCCTGAAGACAAGACTGCTGGTTCTGCAAAGTTCACAAATCGTCAGCGCCGGATTTGGTCACAGTGATTATATTCGTAAGAGTATAAGCACGCCAAATCGACACTAGAGTATAGGGGCACAGATACTCAAAACAGATATATGTCTTGACAGTAAATGTGGTTCGGCTATCAGAATGTCAAACTTTAAAGCTTACCTGTGAGTATCCAATCATAAAACAACTTGGTGTTCAATGTGCCGAGCCCTAGTAAACTGTAACACCTCACCTTGCCGAAAAGGCTAATGAGATGACCTCTGCCAATAAAGACCCGAAAATCTTTCTCAACCGAGACTTGGATAGATAACCAGTCGACCTCGACGCAGTACTGTTTATCTAAACTGAAGGTATCCCATGGTTGGCCGGTTCTATGGCGATAATGCTGTTTATCCAAACTGAAGGTATCACTGGTTGCCTTCACAGTGCTGTTTATCCAAACTGAAGATGTGTTGGCGAAAAAGAAAATAAAAATCTCAAGGTTGTTGAGAGGTTTAGCGTGGAGCGAGAATTTGCGCAGGGCAGTTTGTGTGTTGAATTGGAGGGGCTTGAATGATGTCCTCATCCCTCTATTTATAGTAGCCAACCTGCTTCTGATTGAATCACAGCCATTCTCGAATTATAACTCATTTCCCCGATCCAACCTTATCTCGGCCAGTCCTACTCCTACTAGGACTTCGAACTCAACCCCTTATTAGGCCACATTCAATCCCAAACTTCAACATTCTTATCCTGTTGAAACTCCTTCTCGTAATGGGACTCACCCACATCCCATGGATTCCTAATGGGACACGGCAAGCTTTAACTATGCGGCCCATGAGCTGGATGACCCCCAACAACTCCTAAGCACGGCCTCTGGGCCGAGAATAATTCTAAACTCGGCCCAAACTAGTATGATATGTCATAAACAGGAAATAAACACGTTAATCAACATTTAATAATAATTTAATCATTAACAACTACATTATTTGATTTGAAAATTTGATCTCCGTACCATTACCCTCTTTGAAATTACTGGAGTCAGCCCATTAATTTTTTTTTATAATTTTATAAGGGTTTTTTGTTTTTTGGTAACATAATGGAGTGAATCACATTAAAAACTAGCTTAAAGGGTTATTACAGATAATTCGAATTGTAAGGACTCCCACCATAGTACACAGGACAACGCCCTACAGTGAAAACAGATATGCAGCAGCCCTATGTTAACGGTTAACTATGTTGTTGGGTGGCAAGTGTATATTTTGAATGCATAAAATTATTATTTTTCAATAACAATAGAGAAGAATTAGACGAGATTAGTTATTTGTCAACAACTTAAATCATTGTAGTCAGGGGAAGATTGAAATGTCTCTCTGAGTCTTCCTGGCACCCGAAAGAAGTGGATAACCGTGGTTTGCCACCAGTTGTCTTTTTTTTTTTAAATAAAAAAAAACAACTTAATCATTGTCATAGACAAGTATAATATTTTTAAACTAATATAACAAATTAAATAATATGTTACATTAGGTCGGATCCGCCTATAAAACGTATTCTATTTATTAGATTGGAAGTCTCAAATCCATATTTTATTAATTACCTTGACTTAAGATACCGTAAGGTACGTGTCTCAGAATTGCAACTTTCTTGATATTCCTTGGACTCACCCTAATTGATAACAAACCTCCCTAATGATCTATTAGTTCACATGCTCCTTCGACATATGTTCTCACTTATCCTTGTGGTCAATTACTCGTTCTTAGGTTGCCAGGAATACAGAATCATGTGTTACCAGACGTTAATTGATTTTTTGGCGTACAAGAGTCTTTTCGTGGTTAAGAAATTATATTATATTTCTAATGAGTTTGAAATGCAGAGTTGTATGTGTTATTTCTAATTAGGATGCCAGGAATACAGAATCATGTGTTACCAGACGTTAATTGATTTTTTGGCGTACAAGAGTCTTTTCGTGGTTAAGAAATTATATTATATTTCTAATGAGTTTGAAATGCAGAGTTGTATGTGTTATTTCTAATTAGGATGCCAGGAATACAGAATCATGTGTTACCAGACGTTAATTGATTTTTTGGCGTACAAGAGTCTTTCCGTGGTTAAGAAATTATATTATATTTCTAATGAGTTTGAAATGCAGAGTTGTATGTGTTATTGCTTTTGGGATATGTGGCTTCTTTTTCTTGCTCTAGATATTTCCCACATGGTTTTCTCCGAGTAAGGTTTGTTCTGATGATCACGTTTGGTATGTCTGCTCTATATAAGTTTTTTTTTATCGTTTTTGATCCAATTTGAATTGATCTATAAAAGGATTGTCTTGAAGACCACTTGCCTACGAATTATCTTGGAAGAGTTTAGTGCCAAATTTGCTTGCTAGAATTAACTATACCAATTTAAGCACAAAATGGTATTGGTTACAAACTGTTATCGGTCATTTAAATCAAGTGTGCTTTGCCATTTTAGTTTACCTATTCAGTTTGTTGACCCTTATTTGCTATAGAAAGGAAGGCACATTTAATGGGACCTAAACAGATGAAGATTTTGGTCCTAGTCTACTTCCTCCTATATAGCTATGGCATGCACGAATCAATTAACATCCTAAATACGATCACCCAACTAATTTAACCGAAATAAACGCTACAAAAAGAAATGGTCAAACTACAAAAATAACCTGCATCTTGTAATATACATACTCAACTGACGCCGAAAATTAATATCTAAAAAATAAAACGAAGGAGAGAAAGATAGCAATGGCCATGCCAATGTCCTCACCGAGTGCCAACGCCATGACAATGAAGGCATTGCCTTTGCGAGCCCTCCTGGGGCCAATCCTGCTATGTCTTCTTCTTCTCCCTGACCATGTTCATGTCTCTGCTGCCGACCGTGTGCTTCTTAAAGCCGAGCAGGATCACGATAGGGTTGGGCCAAAGTTCAAGCCTGGCCCTTGGAAGCATGCTCATGCCACATGCTACGAAGGAGGCTCTGGAACCTTTGGTATGAACCCTATCAACAAGGACGGAGCCATGAAGGGACCATAATGGTCCCGGGCCTACCTAACATTTTTTACACACAGAAAAAATTAGAGTTATTTTTCTGATTTCTAAAGACTTTTCAAGGTTTTAGAGTCTCAACTAGAATCTTTTCTTTATTTTCTTAACTAAGTTTTATTCGAGGCTGGTGGCTCTTATGCAGTTAACCAGCATCACTGTGAGTTTTGAGGGACTCAGGGGATTAGAAGAGGGATAGAGAGAGGAAGTAGGCGAGAGAGCTGGTTTTATTTTTTTTTATTTTTGCTTTATTTTTTTATTTTATTCTTTGAAGTCTTTTAATACTATTACTTTTGCTTTTTCTTTTTTCTCAAAGGGATTTTTTTTGAATTTGAGTCATGATACTGGGCATGAGGTTGAGTTGAGAAAGAGGATGACAAGAACGACATCATACTACTTAACAACTCACCCATTCCCATGTATTATGAACCATCCTCTTACCCAGCCAATTTCTTACAAGGGAATCTATTGCTCACATGATGTAGCAAATTTATATGGAAATTGCTTGCCAAAGATTTTTCTCTATTAGCCGTTAGGAATGTTTGATAATGTTTTTGGAATGCTTAGCAATATTTTTGGAAGTGAGGATCCTCGCCAGATCCTCAAATCAAATCTGTTCGTCGTATATTATGTGGTCATAAATTATTGCAATTTTTTTAATTTAAAATTATATAAATAGTATATGACGAAAACTGTCTGCACGATGTACGATGAACAGATATGATTGGAGGATCTTGCAATCCTCACAAAGAGTATCCAGTGAGGGTCCTCTCTCTATTTTTGGACACCTAAAAGCTCTTTTTATAAGAGCAAAACGTGATTTTCAATTAAACACTTGCATTTTTAATAGAAATTTTGGCATGCTTCTAATAAAAAAACTAGCACTAATTAATTCATGAATTTTTTTTGAACCTACTAGGTGGAGCTTGTGGTTACCATGATGTTGTTAAAGAAGGTTATGGCCTCAAAACTGTAGCACTAAGCGATGCACTGTTCAACAAAGGGCAGTCGTGTGGTGCATGCTTCGAAATCAGATGTGTAGACTCACCCCAATGGTGCAAGCCCGGGCAGCCAGTTGTGTCAGTCACAGCAACAAACCACTGCCCTCCAAACTACAACCTCCCAAGTGACAATGGAGGATGGTGCAATTCGCCACGCGAGCATTTCGATATAGCCAAGCCCATCTTCCTCCAGATTGCTGAGTACAAGGCTGGCATTGTCCCAGTTGAATATCGAAGAGTGCCATGCAAAAAACAAGGAGGCATTCGGTTCACAATAACTGGGAATCCTTATTTCAATGAAGTGATGGTTTGGAATGTCGGAGGCTCTGGGGATGTAACAAGTGTCGAAGTGAAGGGTGACGGCAAGCTTCCATGGACGCCGTTGAAGCGAATGTGGGGTCAGAGGTGGACCACCGATGCTAAGCTTGTTGGGGAGTCATTGACATTTAGGGTTGGTGAGAGTGATGGAAGAACCATTACTTCAGTGAATATTGCCCCTAAGAATTGGCAGTTTGGTCAGACCTACGAGGGCAAGAACTTCGATTAGAGTAGAAACATGTTGGAAGCTTCATTTTGATGCTTTCGACTAGGAAATTAATGAACAAGCTCTAATGTTTCTTTCAATTCTTTACCTTTTGTTGATTGAATTAGTTTTGCTTGTTATGTTATATGTATAAGTTGCAATGAAATGGTTAAGCAAAGGGGTTGCCATGTTAGGTGGATAGAACATGGATATAGTTCTAGATGTACCATTAATTAGGTTAAATTTTAATTTGACGAAAAGTAATTTAGTTGTGAAATCCTGTCTTTAGATTTCACTATTTAATTTTACATATTTTGTATTTATGCTAATTTATTTTATTTTTGTTAATTTTAGATTCGTTACTTAGTTACAAAGTTGGAATTTTTGTAACGAGTCATTAAAAATCTATAGACTTTTTGGGTTAGTCTTAGAATTTTTGGGTAGATTCTAGGAATGCGTAAGCAAAAACTATTTGCAAAACAGAGTAGTAACGAAGGAGAAATATGCAAGTAAAGGCAAGGGCGAAATGGTCTTTTGGACCCTATGCTTCTGGAAGGCTCCAGGAAAACGGGAGAAAGGATCCCGTTGAGGAACCCACATGGACTGGAGGGGATTGGTTCGCCCTTCCCCCCTAATAACCCTTCTCCCTTTGACCTGTTTCCGGACCCATTTATGGGCAACGATTCCAACGCTGATTTTGGCGTTCTTTGATCGATTCACTCGACGCCACCACCTGGAAACGACTCACCGCCATCCCACGACCATTTTCCACCTAAGGTTTCCGTTTTTTGGCCGCCGTTCCCGACAGGACGAGTTCGTCGGTCTCCTGAATTCCTCGCTGGCAATCTTGCGATTCAGTTGACTCTGATGTCAACCACCACATCCAGTTCAAAGCCCACGACCCTAGGAGGTGATTTGTGGGCCCCAATGGTCTGATGGTGCAGTGGCGGTAGCAAAGTGGCGTCGAATCACTTTGGCCACCCACCACTTTCTTGACAATTTACGCCATCTTCTATCCCTATTAGACTTCGTCACAGGTATGAAAATCATTCCTTATACTGAGTTTTATTTGCTTGTAAAATTTGGTAGAAATCTTAATTGGTCGGAAACAAAGTTTATGAACTGCCAACCTAAGTGGGGACTTTGGCAGAATGGAATTTTGGACAGCGAGATGTCTTCAATGTCTTGGTTTGGTTCCAAGGTCCGTTTGTTGAAATATACGATGGTTCGATAATTTGATTTATAGAAAGTCGAACCGCTGTTTGACTTTCAAAATTGATGTCGATCTGGCCGTTGGATCGCTATGATACTTTACTATGTTGTTGTGGTTATTATTTGAGGACTTTAGAAATTTACATATTGGAAATCTGATGTAGATATCTTCTGGATTGAAGAATCTTAGATTATTGACATTTATATTTGACATTAATCCAACCGTTAGAGAGTTACAAAATTATAATATGTCGTTGGGTGTAATATTTGAGAATATTAGAAATTTATGGATTGGGAATCCAAAGTACGAGTCTTCCCGGATTGAATTTCTAAATTTGTAGGACCGATTCTTGATAACCACTTAAAATTGTGATTAACTAAAGATCTGACATTCAAATCGTCACAAATTTTTAATATGTTGTCCTAGAAATACATAGAGACTTTTACAAAGTTACGAATCAAAGATCCGGTGGGTGAATCTACCGGATTGGATTACTAGGGTTGTTGATCGTTCCGTTGATCACGTTGACCAATGGTTGATTTTTGGTCCACATTTCCTGAATTGTTCTTTAATACAAAAATTAGTATTATTAAAGGCTAGGTAGAGCCTAGTGGGCCCATCTTGTCCATCGAGTTATACCAGTTAATGTATATCTTAGGTTGTGTGCCACTTATTGAACTACTAGAAGATATAAATGATATGTGTGATTGGTAGTACGAAAATATGAGCTAGAACCATGTTAGAATTATTTCGTAGAACTTGTATGTATGTGTGAGTAGATATTTGTTTGTGTTGTGGAATTGATAGTGTGTATGCTAATAATTATAATTCATGTCGACTTGATATGTGATGTGTGATGATATGACTGCACCATGTAGCAATGATACATGGATGGTCCTACCTGGTTAATTCGCATTGGGGGACGATACGCATTCTAGAGGTGACTCTGCCTGATTAATCCGCATTGGGAATTCACTCCTACCTTGTTACACTATTCCCATGGGTTGTTTCACCTAGTTCATCTGTATTGGGGAACCAACTATTGAAGGCATGTCCATGGTCCCACCTGGTTAATGTTGGGGGACCATGCGCACCCTAAGGGTGGTTCTGCCTGGTTAATCCACATAGGAGGATCACGTGCACCCTAATGGTGACTCTGCCTGGTTAATCCACGTTGGGGGTCACTGCCTAATTGGTTTACTTCTATAGGAGGTTCCGCATAGTTATCTGCATTGGGGAACCATACGCATTCGAGGGGCGACTTCGCCTAGTTAATTTGCATTAGGGAACCATATGCATTTGAGGGGGTGACTCTGTCTGGTTAATCAGCATTGGAGGGTTACTGCCTTCTTGGTCACGTTATATCTCTAGGTGGTGATGCCTGGTTATTCTACATTAGGGAACCATACACATTCTTGAGTGGTGTTTCGTTGAGTGATTCGGAATCCCTCTTTCCATTCAGCTCCATTGATTTGTTCTATAACTAGATCTTTAGAAATCTTTTACAGTTCCTCTGTATCACTTTAGCTTTAATTTTCAGCATGTTTATGAACAAAAGAATTGAGAATCTGAATCAATAGGAAGATGGCCGTCTGGGTGATTACTTCGAGATTTTCAATTAGTTTATTTATAATTTTATAAAACATGGTTTTATAATGATGTTGATTGGTTGGTTGATTAATATAGTTAAAGATTAATATTATGCATCAAATTTTCAAGGAAATATTATACGATGTTGATTGTGGTTTGTTGATGGATAATGTGGTGATGTGTAAGGTCAATTAGATGACCATCCTGGTTGTCATATGATTCCTTGTGTGGTTTAGAATTGAGCGATTTATGCTCTTCGAGTTCCATCAAGTTATTTGAGATTTTTATGTTCTTTGCTAAGAAGTAGCATGTAAAATGTCAAAGTTTAACAAATGGTGAATTACCAATGGCTTGATCCCGTGTTAGGGTATGTAGGTAGTCTAGCATAAAGGTTAAATGCAGCCATATAAAGTAAACGAAAAGCTATTCTACAATTGGACCTTGAATGGTGTCTTGTTCATGTCTCGAAGACGAGGCACAATAGATGTACATGTACGAGATGACATCATGTATCGATCATGAATATATCTCGAAATTGGGGCGTGACATTAGTACTTCATTTTGTAGGATATATAAGTTATATATGAAAATTAATATTTAAAGGTTGAGATAACTTATTGTAAAACTTAAACACACGAGGTAGAAGCCAAGACGTCTCAGGTTAGCTCACATGTATGGTGATGGTCTCAAGTTAGCTTACATGTATGGTGATGATGTATTATATAATTTAATATTTGTGTTGATTTTGATACTTATTTCTTAATCCCCTTTCAAAATAGATGTATAAAAAAAGAACATGACGTAGGAGTTAGGAGTTTCCAACCCCAATTTGAGAGAGATCAATCTTTTGGTGGGACTAAAATAGGAAAACTAAAAGTTTTAACGATAAGGACAAAATAAAGGGTAAAGTAAATAGTACCAGGATTGATTTTTTAGTGTAAAAATGTGATTTTTTGTTAAAGTAAACAGTACCAGAAACTTTTCGTTAAAATTCCCGACTAAAATATGGTCAAATGCTTTAATTACCAAAGTGCCCAAATATATACACCGAATTTGAAAGAAAACTTTTGTAGGGTTTGACTTGGACATGACATTATCATCCACTTAAAACTTGCAACATAGTAAGCTTCAAGTATGACTTATGCTATAAATTTACATTTAAAGTTCCCATAAATAATTTCCTCCTAATTAATAAACACCATTAATTTATGATTCTTTTTCTTCTGTTCTTTCCTCACCCTTCACATCTCTGATTTTTCCTTCACCGTGTATAGAAGTATTTTCTCTCCCAATGCACTACAAGAAAGTGGGTAATGATCACCATTGCCCCCAATACGAAAAAGCTACTAAAGCGGGGTGCGTTGTTGTCATAGGCATGACAATGTCTCCATTGTCACCATGTTTTGTGTTGGTGAGAACAGAATATGTGCCATTGCCCCAACATATATACAATTCCTAGCCGTAAACCAAGGCAGAAAATTGGTGCCGGCTGTTGGGGATGTAAACTTTTTTCTTGGGTGGGGGAGATATAAAAGCTTTTAAAATTATATGAGATTCTCATGATTTCTAAGATGCAACTTACAAATTACCGTTGTCCACAATAATTGTGTGGATATAGGTGATAAATAAAACGTACAACACGCTAATGAGTATTAGGGAATCTTACATATAGAGACAAAAACATACAACATATTTCAAGTAACTTCACTAATTTTTAAATATTTCAAGGAGATATATGAACACAAAAACAATTAAAACCCATCACAAAAGCATGAAAACAATTTTCTAAAATATTAGTCATACTCCTCGCAGTTCTGTTTATTAACAAAGCCCAGCCCACACAACTACAACAAAAATAATGTGTCATCAGTTCAACTCTTCTCGACTATTATTTTTTGGAGAATCAGTTTTAAATATATGTAGAATCAGTTTTGTATACTTTTTAGTATAACCAATTTGTATAGTTTTAGTAGAGTTGATTTGTATTTTTTTAACAAAACTACATACATGCCATCAGTCCAACTCATTCTCAGCTATTTTTACAAAATTAGTTTCAAATATATCTAGAATAAGTTTTGTTTACTTTTTAGTAACTGGCTTTTAGTATAGTCAGTTTGTATACCTTAAATAAAATTACATACATGTCATTATCTCAACTCATTCTCGGGCATTTTTGCATAATCAGTTTCAAATATATGTAGAATCAGTTTTGTATACTTTTTAATAGATCTAGATTGTATAGTTTAGTAGAATCACTTAGTATATTGTCAACAAAACTATATACCTGCCATCAGTCCAACTCCTCTTCGACCATTTTTGCAGAAGCAATTCAATTATAGAATCAATTTTGTATATTTTTAGTAGAACCAGTTTGTATAGTTTTTAATTAATCAGTTTCAACTATATGCACGGTTGTGTGTGTGTGTGTTTGCAGAAGCAATTCAATTATAGAATCAATTTTGTATATTTTTAGTAGAACCAGTTTGTATAGTTTTTAATTAATCAGTTTCAACTATATGCACGTGTGTGTGTGTGTGTGTATTAGTAAAATCAATTAATATACGTTTTAGTAGATCGGTTTGTAATACTTTCTAATCAATTAATGTACTTTTTAGTAGATCGGTTTGTAATACTTTTCAGTACAACCAATTTTGTATACTTTTTAGGTCCCATTTGGTATTGCTTTTTTTCACTAAAAACTACTTACCTTTAAAGTTAAGCAGTAAAAAAGTGTTTAGTTAAAGTAAAATACCTACTTATTTTAAAAGCAATGGGTTCCAAACATCAACTTTTAAAAGCAGTGTGCATGCTGCTTTTAAAAGTTGCTTTAATAAAAAGCAGAGTTGGGTATTTAATAATTATTTTCAATTGTTGGAATACCTTCATTAATTTTTTTTTTTTAAATGACATTGTTTAGGCCACACACATTCTATTTCTTAGAGAATAAAGTAAACGCTACCACTACAAATACTAACCTTACACCATCATCCCCATTACAACCACCATTTTTGTCACCACCACCGCCATAACCACAACCTCCACCACTATCATCATTACCATCATTGTTACCACCGTCACCACCGCCACTGCCACCATTGCCACCGTCACTACTACCACCATTGCTACCACCATCGATGCCGCCATCGCCACCATCACCATTACCATCATAACCACAACTGCCATTACCACCATCATTGCCGCCACTGCCGATGTGGAGCAAAAAATAATCAAGAAAATTATGGAGGCGACATGTGGACTTGTGGGTAAAAAGACAAAATTACCCTTGAGGCACACCAGGATTCTCATGTGCATGCAACAGACAATAACGGCTCAATCAAGGTCAAAGGTGATCAAAATGGTATTTATTCAAAACCTTCTCATCACTTCTCATCAAATCTTCACCCACAAGATAACTCCCAATTATTCTTTTCAAATTGGGAGTAATTACCAAATTAATTGCACGATATTATTTGACATAATATCTTGCAAATTATATTCAAAATTCCACTATAAGTGACCGGTCCCTAATTCTCTAAATAAGGTTGGCCACACCCCTATATATAGCCCCACTTTTCTCCAAAAAGC